AATTTTAATTTTTGTTTTATGATTTATACTGTTTCTTTGATTTGTAATCTACTTATAAGACATGGTATGGTATTTTCTTCTAGTATTAGAAACTTTAAAAAGTATATTTCCATTTTCCATTGACTTTGTATTAGTTCTTCCTTGTCTTTTATACACATAGACACACACACACACACACACACACACACACACGTACGTATGAAAAAATATGTATATAACCTGACATAAGATTGATACTGTTTTGTGGAAATCTTCAATGACCTTTTAAATGGGTTTGTCTAATACTGTATTTTACAAAGTCCTGCATAACTACCATTTTGAGAGCTCTTTATTCTTTATCCAGGACCATACAGCTAATATAATCCCTTCTGGATTATAGTCTTATTTTCTATATGCTGTGTCTGGAGGTACTAGAATATTTTGAGTTGAATAACTAGAAAATAGTTTACTTTTAATTTTCAAAGGTATGTTTGCTAAGTATAAAATTCAATGAAGACAGATCTTTCTTTTCAGTCCTTTAAATAAATAAGTCTAGTTTCTTACCCACTTGCTCTTTTTGTTTTCTAATGTGGAATAAGATGCTATTTAATTTTGCTCTTCCATAGTTAATATTTTTTTCTATGTACATGCTTTAATGATTTTTTTCTTGACAGTTAGTTTTGGGCAATTTCATGTTTGTGTATCTTGGTATGATTTTATTCATATTTCTTGTGCAAAAGGTTCATTTTTTCTTGGAAATGTGGTGCTATAATTTTAATTAAATTCAAAAATTTTAAATATTTATTACCTACCACTTTCTACTTTGAGAATTCTAATAACATTAATATAAATTACTTGATTTTGACACGGAGAACTGTTATATGACTGCTCTGTAAACTCTTCTTCATGTTTATTGTAGAGTTTTTATTGTTATATTCATTTAAGTTTGTAAATAATTTTTTACAATGTGCAATCTATTACTAATACACATGTTGTGTATTCATTTCAGAAATATTTTTCTAAAATTCACTGTCTACATCTTAAAAAAAATTCATGATTTTATTATTAAAAAATAAAAAAAATAATCATTACTACTTTTATTCTTCATTGCTGGAGATTAAAATTCAGGGCCTCGCACACATTACAACAATTAGTTTAGAGACAATCTCAGTACTTTTATTTTTGTTGTTGTTGTTGTTGTTACTGGGGATTGAACTCATGACCTTGTGCTTGCCAGGTGGGCCCCTATGCTGCCGAGCTATATCCCTGGGGTATTTTTACTTTATTTTGATTTGGGCTCTGTTTCATTGTCCATGACGGCTTCAGTATTACAATCCTCCTGCCTCAGAGTGCCAAGATGCTAGGATGAAAGTTAGGCACAACCACACCTAACTTTAAGTTTCATCTAAGCAAGCACTGGAATCCTACTGAATAGGAGGGGTAAAGCACCCTCATTTTAGCTAGTCATGCCGGTTCATGTCTTGCATCTCAGAACTACAAGAGGATAAAAGATGATCAGAAATTCACTGCAGCCTGGACAATTCAGTGACACAGTCTCGAACTTAAAAACAAAATATTAAAACGTGAGGAATGTAATCCACAGCAAAAGGCCTGCGTCCAATCCTCTGTGTAACAAAAACATCAACCACACCTTGCAATCTTTTGTATCCTAGAGAAATCCCTTCCCCCATTACACTGAGATGATCATGCTCAACAATTCTGAAACTTACAGGGCCACATTCCTAATTTCCAATTTTCCCTCAAAATGGTTATGTTAACTAATCGATAGTAACAGAAGACATATTTAATCTAATTTTGACTAAATTCTTTCTTAAGCCTATGATGATGGCCCACTCTCAGATTGAACCAGGACACTATTCCTTTAAGTCATACAATGAACAATTCTCACCTGAGGTGAAGGCTTTCTCTACTGTAGGTGTAGTTTTTGTCACCCTCACCAACACCTCCTCTCCACTGTCTTTCTCCTGCAGTTTGCTCCTCCTTACAGAGAAAACCTCCATCCCTAGGCACTCTTATGCCTGCAGACCTCACATTTAGGGTATTACCTCTAGTGCAGTAGCCTCCACTGTGAAGTCCACCTCAATTAATTAGCATTTCAATCTTTAAAACAAAGAACAATCCAACAGCTATAGCAATTGTATGAGATGACACCTCTCTTTCCACTCCTACCAAATCACATGTCCAAGTAGTTGCTCAACTTCACTGAGCTTCACATCGTGTTTAACAGGCAGCCCCATTCTCCTGATTCTGCTAATAAACATTAACATCACCTCCATTTCCCCCAACCTTCTAAACTCTATGGGAAGTCCTCACTTAAATGCTCTCTTTGTTAAAATAAGCGCCACATAAACAACTAAGATAGTATTTCTGCTCTTCTGCTTGTGTAACCCAGGAGTCCACTCCAGGAATGGTAGGCGCTGCATCACCGAGTTACACCCAATGGTAATCCCATCTCTGGATTATCATGCTATTTACCATCACCTATTGAGAGTGTGGCAATGTGGGGGTATACTGCAAATTTAGGAACTCAGGAGCACTGAGGAGCGAAATTGTGGGTTTAAGACACTGGACCAAAGGCATATATAAAAGAAAGACCCATCAGGTCTGCTGGCAGGAGGGATGAAAGCAGGAAACCAGCACGCCGCGGCTCCTGCAGCTCCAGCTCTCCCTTGACCCTGGGTCTTCCCACCGTTCCCCTTCTCCGCACCCAAGTGGAGCGGCTGTGAGCTGGGGCTGCCCGAGCCTGCACTCCAGGCTGGCGGGGTGTGTTGGGGAGATGTGCCGCTCGGTGCCCAAAACGGGCCAGCCTCAGCCAAGGCAGACCAGGAAAAACCCGGACTCGGGAGCACGCAGAAGCTCCGGACCGCCATTGCCGGGTCCTACCACTTCCGGGTCGATCTCCCCACCCCCACCCCCCACGTCGCCTCCCATTCCATCCCATCGCAGGGCAGCCGCCCCACACTATTACCATTGCGTGGCTTCAGAGTCTTCAAGGGCCCTTCCAACGCAGTCTGCAGCCCGCAGAAATCCTAAAGCAAGCTGGTCTAGCCAGGTGAGGCGGCTCTCAGCGCAGCGCTTAGGAGCCGAGCTCTGTTGCCAGGAAACAGAGCCCGCCTCCCCGGCGTCACCTGATTGGGCCGTTCCTGCAGCCAGCGTCTTTAACCCTGATTTGCGCCTGCTCTATTACCTGCCCTCCGAGCTGTCACAGTTGCATCAGGAAAAACAGAAACAAGAGTCACGCTGAAGGGGTAGATTGTAACCCAGAGGCTTTTAAACTATTTTCTCTCCCAGGATACAGCCCGTCCTAGCTGCATATAAGCTTTGCGGAGCTGCCGCTGTCATTTTTGTTTGCCAGGGTCTCATCTGGCCTTGACCTCACTGTACTTCGCCTGCATTAGTCTACTTAGTGCTGGATTTACAAGGATGAACCCCCACTCCCAGCTACTCCTGCCTTCTTACTGGATTCAGCGACCTCTTCTTGTGAGTTGGCCCTTAAAATAGGGTCACATATGTGCTAAGAGTTCCAATTGAGTTCCACAATTATGTGCTAATTCTCCACAGAGAAATCACTGTAAGAAGTCATGAATCTAGGAAAGGTCAGGACGTAATGAAATGGAGGGAAGGATTGATGTGAGAGGTTAAAAATGACAAATAGAGCCTGCCAGGTAGCTCAGCGGATTAAAGCGCCTGCTTAGGCAGACTCAGGGACCGGGTTTGATCCTAGGCGTCCCATGCCACGACCCAGCCCCCCCGGGGGGACACGCTGAGACAGCTAATGAGACTGGGCGAAGAGGCGCGTGCCTGTAATCCCCAGAGCTTGGGAGGTTAAAACAGGAGGATCATTACGAGTCTGATCTGTGTAGTGAGACCCTGTAGACCCTGTACTAAATACATAAAAAATAAAATAAAAATGAGCAATAAGGTAGTTTGCTTTGTGAATAAGTCTTTCTAACATTATATCTCTCAATTTACTTTTTTTTTTTTTTTTTGGCGGGGGGTTTCTTTTTGAGACAGGGTCCCTCTATGCAGTTCAGGCTGGCCGTGAACTCACTCTGTAGCTGAGGCTGGTATTGAACTTGAAGCGACCCTCCTGTCTCAGCCTCCAGAGTGCTGGGATTACAGGCGTGCACCACCACAACCGACCTGATTTATTTATAGTAAGCTAAGAAAATCAATATATGTCCCAAAGATTATAAGCTTTAGCTTCATCTACTTCCTGGTATTGAGGAAAGGAAACCTGAGGACTTGAGACTGTAAGCTCCTTGTTTTCTGTAGTTCCCTCTTTACAGACTGAAAACTCTGTTTTCAAGGCATTAATACTCCTAGAAGGGAAATATTAATTGGAGTCATGTGATACTCTTGATTAACATTTGACATGAGAGATGGGTCTCACTACATAGACTGAATTCATAGTGATCTTCCTGTCTTCAGTCTCTCCAGTGCTGGGATTACAAGCGTGAGCCACCATGCCGGACTCTGTTGCTGGCTCAGTGGGCCCCGGGGGCAGGGCCGGTGCAGTAAAGCACATTTCTGGCCTGTTAGGTTGAGTCATGGAGGTGTGGTATTACGGGCTTTACCTTCTCCCTCCCCCGTCCTCTCTGGTACAAGTTTTGTTCTGCACTGTTTTTTCTTCTACCATGACATTACTTCTTTGGAGTCAAAATCACCTAACTTCAATCTCAAACCATGTGCTAAAATAAAACTTTTAAACTGTGTATGTCCAGAATTTTGCACCCATGGTAAGAACCTAATAAATTAATATTAGGTGTCTAAAAACCACAAAATGCCAACTACATCAAGCTTTTCTTCTTTTTTTAAAAAATGTATTTGTTACAGGGTCTCATTGGACAGTTCAAACTCTAGTGATCCTCCTGTTTTTAGCCTCCCCAGCGCTGGGATTACAGGCATGCGCCACCATGCCCAGGCTCCATCGCTGACTAGCATTCCTCCCCCACGTTTGCCTAAGCAGCATTTGGTCTGCTGAGCTATCTTGTCAGCTTACTTTTCTTTCTACAATTTAAAAAAAAATTATTTATTTATTTGGTACAGGGTCTCACTATACAGCTCAGACTAGTAGTGATCCTCCTGTCTCAGCCTCCTCAGCACTGGGATTACTGGCGTGTGCCTCCATGCCCAGTTTCGGTTGCAGGCTGTGTGCAGGGTCCGCATGTGGTACCGGGTCCTTGAGCTTGCCGGGCAGACGCTTAGAGCACCAAGCTATCTCCCTGGCCCCAACGTTTTCCTTTAGAAGAGTATACAAATGTGTTTCCTGTATGATCGCTCTTCATTGATTTTTTTCATGTAAATGTATCGACTCCAGCAAATCAAAACGACGTTCCAGGGAAAAGCTTATGGCAACCAATAAAAACTTCAGAAAAGACAAAATCTCCAAGCCAATTTATACAGTTGTCACCTGCTTTCCTCTGCTCTCCAGCTTGTGGCTTTCAGTAAGCTTAGAGTTGTTCTCAGTAACTAGAGGCAACACAGAGGTCTACAGCCCATTTGGCCCCAGATCACAGACCTTACTTGTCAGGTTGAAGATGTATTTCAGTTTTAAGTTACTGGACCTGAGACTACTCACTACAGTTTACTTATCTTGCTTTACCAATACTGATGAGTTATATGACTTCGGTATACTCAAGTTCAAGTCTTTCAGTATAAATTAATAGGGTCCTTGTTTTTCTTATGTGCTAATCAGTGAAGAAAAAGAAAATTATAAGCTTCTGTACATGGATGTAAAACACATAAGAACTCTTACTTATTGAAAAACAAAGATATCATGAAACTTTTTTAATGATTTATTTATTTATTTTGTATTTTAGGGAAGGGTCTACATGGTCTCACTACTAGATCTGACGCATAGTGATCCGCCTGTTTATAGCCTCCCAAAAGCTGGGATTACAGGCGCTTGCCACCATGCCTAGTCTCAATTGCTTTCTCAGCTTGCTCCAGGGGAGAAACTAGCCCTGCAGGCCCCGGGGATTGAACCTCTGGCTCTTGTGCCTGCTTGCAGGCGCTTTAATCCACTGAGCTATTTTGGTCAGCCCGATCATTTCATGGTATCTTTTTTTTTTTTTTTTTTTTTTTTTTACAGGGTCTCAGTACACAGATAAGACACATAGTGATCCTCCTGTTTTCAGCTTCCCGAGTGCTGGGATTACAAGTGTGCACCACCATGCCTCGTCTCAGTCACCAGGACAGTGTACCTGGGGGCAGGGCCAGCACGACACTCCAGGGATTGAACTTAATTTTTTTTCTCTTATCAAATCCTAAGCATCATGTAAATTCTTCCATTATTCAAAAACTATTAACTGAAAAAAAAATGTTAACTGCTCTAGGTTTTAATCTCCTGGAAGCTCAATCTCTTTCTTTCTTCCTTCCTTTCTCTTTCTTTCTTTCTTTCTTTCTTTCTTTCTTTCTTTCTTTCTTTCTTTCTTTCTTTCTCTTTCTTTCTTTCTTTCTTTCTTTTTTTCTTTCTTTCTTTCTTTCTTTCTTTCTTTCTTTCTTTCTTTTTTTTTTGTTTCTTCCTGTGTTTTTTTTTGTGGTACTAACGATCAAACTCAGGACCATGCACTTGCCAGGCAGGTACTTATGCCACTGAGATATCTCCCCAGCCCTTTTGTATCTCAGCTATTTATTTCTTATTGTATTACAGTGAATACCATGATATTTTTGATGAATTCAGGGACTAAATTTTTTATGGCTATTCTCCACAGTTGTTACATCAGAGTAAAGATGAAAACATATATAGAATGTATAAGCATTACTTGTTCATAGTTTGCAAATTTTGATACAAGGTCTTCAAAAACGTTTGAATTTCTTAAGTGAAAATTCTGTGCTTTGTATCATAATGAGATATTTTTTTTTTAGTGGCTGGCAATGGAATTTCATGAAATCCTGAAGAACTAAGGAATGTTAAAAAGCCCAGACTTGTAAGAATTACTTTTATTTGTAACTGACCAGTGAGCTGAAATGTTAGCCCCAGCCACTGTACCTGTGGAAAGGGGACAAAATTTTGAGATTCATGTGATGATCAAAACCACAAAAGCTCATCAATCTTGTCAACATATCTGACAATTATTTACTTCTAATGAGCTCAACCTTGTTCATTGTATATTTAGCATCATCCTGGGCCTAAAGTCACAAGATAACAGTAAATTCCCCACTCTTTTTATGTCATAAGAAAATTTCAGACACACCCATCTATTCCCTAAAACCCCAAATTGCTTCTTATGGAAAGCCTAACAGCTACATTGGTCACTGCAGTTAGCCAAATGGGAAAAAAACACATAACGGGCCTAAATCTCAGGCTCAAGGCTTCATTGTAAATGTCGATGAGTTTTCAATTTCTCCAGCTGTACAACCCAAACCCAGATAATTATTCCCAGTTTATTTGAGCTCTGCCATTGCACCCCCACTCTTTTTATTCATTCCGTATGCTCTAATTCTATAATGTAGTTAGTGTGAAAAGGCCAAAGGGATTAATCTGTTTTATGCACTCAGTTGACACAGGCTGACAGAGAAGCCTGGTTGAGGATGGCTTTCAATAAAAGCCAAAACTGTGGAATGGACTGACTTTCCCCTTCTGTACAGCCCATGCTATGGCCTTCTACACGAAGCTGATCTGCAAAGCTGTTTGGAATCTGGGGTAGGAGGGCTTCAGGGGGAATTCAGAGATTTCAGCTCCTACATAGGCACAAATCAAAGACTCCATGCAAATATTCTCTGCATAGATATAGGATCTTGAATGTTTGGTGGACACAGAGATGGACAGGGATGCCTTTATACCTTCACATCAAGACAGCACACAGCAACAACAGTTCTTGATAAATCAGGCTTTCAAAATTTAATGGATATGCACCTCCACTCCAGTACCTCCTCTGAATCTCTAGATATGATTGACAGGAATTAGTGACTGGGCATTCATTCTTCTCACCAACTCACAACATGCAACCTTGTTCCACAATTCACTCTGATCTTAATTACATGCAAAACATGTAGTACATATTTATGAACCTTTAATGAAGTTTCAATAGGGAGAAGATGACTGAAGGTCAGGCCAAGGGATCCAACATATAT